CCCCCCCTCAATTCCCATCACACTTCCCTCTCCCTCCTAGCCTAATTAACTGCTGCCGATCAATTTTTATTTCATGTTTCATACATGTAATTACATAAGAAAATAATTTTACATAAAGAGACTCGTGTATGTAAAATGAACACGACTGCACCCCGGCCCCATTACTGTTTCACGATCGTCGTCACATGGCAGCACGCACCCACCTGTCAACGTTATGCTATCAACGCTTCAATTACAAAAAAGCGAAGTGGTGAAGATGTTTCTTTGAGCAAAAGTGGAGGAGGGAGAAGAAGAAGTTTTCTCCATGTAAATTTAGACCGATTTTGAATCAAACCCTGTGTAATCATTGATTAGTCATTACAACACGAGAGTATGCATCAATTGACGTGTGCATGCAACTTTGGCGCGCTAGACACGCCCGGACACGTGATGCTGGATTTCCCCACTGCACACATGCACACACACATACATATGCATGATGAAAGATCCCGTGCATGGACCGACGCTACATAAATAAATACTTCACAAACATCGACTATCCCGGCTACAGTTGCGCGTTTGTTCGTTAGCTCGTTTGTTCGTTCGTTCGTCACTTTAAAAAAAGAACCTCGAACATATTTTCCGACTGTTGAAAGAAGGTGCGATACATAACCCTCGCTATTTATTCCGAATACCCGCAGATGCATTAATTCAATTGAAAGGATTCGGTCTTATGGTCTAGTGGTATGATTCTCGCTTAGGGACAAACCTGAGTACATTTGCGAGAGGCCCCGCGTTCGAATCGCGGTAAGACCCACCCACCTTTTGAATTATTATCTTTTTTTTCTTTTTTTTCTTTTTTTCCTGCCTGCTGCGATAGAATAATAATAGATAGATAGGACTTCTCTAGGAAAAAAAAAAAGAGAAAGTTTATGGCAGGTTCCATAGATGTTGATCAAGGAAGGCTGCATGAGCATTATTGTAATTAGCTAGCGATAGATATCTGCAATATAAATGGATTTTTTTTTAAAAGAAAACACCCCCCCCTCCCCCCGCAAACGCTTCAGTGCTCAACGCAGGCAACGAAAACGGATTTCATCAACGCTTCAAAAGCTAAACAGTTCCATACCCGTTTCTTCTGCTCTTCGACCCTATCCATCTCTCTCTTCCTCCGCCTCCCCAACCAAGCCGTCAACAATCTTGAACATCTCCTCCGCCACTCTCCTTCCTCTCTCCCTGAAACTCTCATCACACAATCTCCCAAACCGATCCGGGTGCCACCTGATCCTCTCCTGTCTTAACCATTCGTAGTTATACAAGCCCGATGCCCTCAGCATCCTCTCAATATCATGCTTACACGCTCTCAAGCCTGCGGGATCGGACTTGAAGTGCAGACAAGACGGCAGAGGACATGTTGTGGAAGTGGTCGGCAAGTAAGGAAATGTAGTTAGGAGTTGTCCAGTGCCACCAGGCGAGGGCGACCGATTGGGGCTGAAGCCGGACCGTATCTGTATCTTCTTTGGAGGGCGAGAGCGGGCTTTTGAGGGTTGGGTCGGGGTTTCCGAGTTTGATGTGGGTGCGTTGTTTGCTATGACGGCTTGGGAAAGCATGATGGCTGTGTCGGTGGCCCAGCGGTTGTAGTCTTGTTGTGATACTGCACTGGGGATTGTATTTATACCCACGGGCGGAGGACTCGTACCGCCATTTGCTCCTCCGCTACCGTTGCGATAGCTGTTGTTGCGAGTGTTCTGCTGCTGGGGTCGTTGCTGAGATTTGGGCTGAGGTGTCGGCTTCGCTTTCGGTTTCGAGGACGCGGATCTTGTTGATTTGAGCCGTGCAAAGAAGTTCAGAGCGAACGCTTCCAAAGCTTCTTCATTGGCATCCGCATCAATGGATCCGGCCCAAGTGCCATCAGTGCGGATAGCAATGAATTGATCCGAATTGCGGGAGTCGAGATTAAGATAGGCAACATCACTCCACTTGAACCCCGTCTCTCCGTCCCACTCCCTAACCGTATCTTGAAAAGGTGGCCAGTCGTCGTCGTCCATGCCCTCTCGTGAACCCATCCTATACACGACCTCATCAAATTCGCTCTTGGCAAAACATGACCCCCTATCATTCCAGGTCATGGTCTTTGGGGCGCCAGATTTCCACCCAGATGGAGTGAGCCACGATTGGATAGTCGATTCGAGAGTAGGAGGGAGCCCGATCCATCGAATGACTGTAGGGTCCCAGGCAATGAATGAGGGCTCGATAGTTTTGGATCCCATGGGGCCTAGGAAGACGCGGAGATGCTGGGTAGGCGTGAGGGTTTCGAGGATCTGTTGGAGGGAGGGAGGGGTGGAAACTCCCCAGCCTGCAAGACAAGCAACTCGTTAGGCTCGACGAAGAAGAAACAACAACGAAGAAGAAAATGACAAGAGTACAGCTATGCGAATGAAAGAAGAGAAGAAGTGGACTCCAGCGAATAGATGAAGAAGAAACGAGTGCGCACCCAGATTACCCTTGCCATTCACATCTGTGAAGCTCAGAACCCAGGACTCAGACACAGGCCCTAACGCCGCCCAATGTACATCGACTACGCTTCCTCCAGCGATAAGTTTGTGCAACGCAGAAGGTAGATTTCGACTGCAGTCATATCAGATGAATGAACATGTCAAAGTGGGAGAGAGAGAGACTCTAGAAGAAGAAGAAGAGGAAGAAGATATAAAAAAAAGGCATACATACTATCTCAGCCCCTCAAAGCTCTTAGAAATGAAGCTATCCCCAGGCCCGAAAGAGAAAAACGAAGTGTTGCTCGACGTGCCCCTCATGCCGGGATGTGTGTGTATCTCTTTCTCTCCAGTATTATGCGAACGACTCGATTGGATCCGAAAGTTGTTCAAAAGTGAGATGACGTCACGCCACGCTCCTCTATACGAGCATAGAAACAAATACCGTTCGGCGCCGCGACTGTGCAGACGAGGGAAAAAAAAAAAGCAAAACGTGTGCGATGAGGCAACACAACAAGAATCTTCTGCAGCGAGGCAAAGCGGGCCTTGTATGGCGCATAGCGACGGTAGCATTGACGCAACGCCGTTGTTGTATTGGTATCCCAGGAGTTGGTGGCTACTAGAGGGAGAGTAGTCGCCTTTGAATCTTGGTTAGACCCTGGGGGGTCATCTTCTTGGCGAGTGGGCGACGACACATGCATGTTTACACCTGTGACTTGTCAAGTTGCGCTTTTTCTTTTCTTCTTTTGCTCCTTCTCCTACGACACTGAAACATTAAAGGCTGCGCGTCTACTACACAGTACCCCCCCCCCCACTGGCCCTTCGCTTTTTCCCAATTCCGTCGTCGTATTGTTGTCCCGCCGCGATAATAATAATAATAATAATATGTGCGACGTCATATTTACATTTGGCCAGGCCGGGAGTCATTTCTTCCAGTGTCCGTCTAGACGGGATTAGTACGAAGGCTTCTTCATCTGGTATTTGGACATACGTGTATACTGACCTTTTGTGCATTACGAGACTTCCGAGGAAACTTCAACGGTTGCTCACTTCGAATCGAATATGGCATATCTACCACGTGACGTTGGGCTTCAACGACAGCTTCCTGATTACATGGCGGGATCAGAGTGGAGGCGATCATATCGGTGTGTATTATATAAAATTACACGCAACAATTCCCTATTGGTCTTGACCAGGAACCACCATCCTTTTCAAACAAACAAAAAACCCCTTGTACATACTCTGTACTAATGGAATAACAGACTCCCACGGCCTCCCCCCTGAACTCGACGCCTTCCTCTACGCAACCACGCCCGACAACATCCTCCTCCGAAACATCCCCCGACTACGTCTGACCCTCGGTCCGTACAACGACTCCTTTTTCGCACACGACTCGTCCGCCTATCAATGGATGAACCTGCCCCCCTCACTGCTCTCTGCCCTCCAAGCACGCATCACCGGCAGCGCCTGGCACGATAAACCGCGCATCGTCGCCCTCGGTGCCGATGACAACTTCATCCTCATCACCAGCGCCAACGCTGCAGTCTGGACTCTATCTAACTATCGAACCATGAACACCATGCTTGATTTCTCCCACACCCGACCCCGTGACATGCAAGAAATCCATCACATAACCCTGCACGCGCACCGCTACCAGTGCTTCATCACACAATCCTCCAACGGATCCCTCATATTCGACAACTTACCGCCGCACGAGATAGAAGGAATGCAGTCAATGATGGCGCCCATGGTGCGCGACACGAAGGAGGAGGAAGAGAGAAAGAAGAAGAAGAAGAGGATTGAGGCCGCCGGCAGCAGGAGGACTAGTGTGGGGTCGAGACAGGAGATGCTGCGGCGCGATTGGAATGAGAAGAAACAGCAGTTTAAGATGGAGGCAAAGGGGCTGAGGCTGACTCTGAGGATGGGCATCAGTGCCGGGGGAGGCGGGATTAAGAGGATGTTGGGGACTGGGTAGAGGATAGATAGTGCTGCGGATAGAGGCAGAGAGAGAGGTCTGCGCGGAATAATAACATACTTGTGATTTTCTTGCATACCTTGCGTGCTCAAGAGCAGATTATGCCCCTGTGGATAGTAGTAGGATTTTGGACGAGGTTCGATGGGCGACATGCAGTTATGGCTGTCTGTCTATTCGTCTCAAAGGCGCGCGCGTGTATGAATAACGCGCCAATTCTATGTAATGATATAGAGGAAATGACCTTGGGTATCATACAACGCTTGTAAACCAATGTGGCAGAATCAATGCTACGCAGGAAATCATGCCGTCACAACGCCACTTTCTTCTGGCATTTCCTTCCGGTGGCCGCTCGTGTGGCCACGAATCTGGCTCTTCCCGGCGTGCTCTGCATGGTTCTCCTTCTGTCTGACCGGGAAGGCATGCTTGAAACTCCACCAGGATATTCTGTCTTGTCACGAGACCGAACGGGGATATTTGTAACAAGACAGCACGCCTTCCCCTACTCGGCAGAAGAATCCCGCTCACGTTGACTCCGATAACTAATGAATTCCTTTTTCCCGCGTCAACATAAGGGAATGCCTGCCCAAAAATGTTCTTTCAAGCTGATTCTTTGCTTCTCGTTGTTCTCTACCCGTTCATCGTATCATCCTGAATAAATGACCCTCAGTGCTGAACACCCAGCGATCCAAGCTCGCCGTGTCCGCGTTGCTGAACGTCAGGTATAAGTACTTCAGTGTCTCAGCTGCCCAGAAGCTCTCTTGCGCATCAATCCACCTATCCTCTCCATTACTACCCCACTCCTTAGCAGTGGGCTGGAAAACATCAGCCAGTTGCGCATATCCGTATGGCGCCTTGCAGTGCTTCTCCATGGCGGAAAATGCTTCCCATGCCCATTCGCGGTAGCGGGGTTCGCCCGCAATGCGCCAAGCGTAGAAAAGGGATTCGACGTATTCAGGGCGCCCCTTGAACTTGGCGTCGGTTGACCAGAAGCCATGTGTTTTCCACTCATTCATCTGCCGATCGGTGTTTGGCGCGTAGATTGGATCATCGAAACCAAACTTTGGGATCCACGACCATGACTCAGGACCGATCTTGGACGGCGTAGAAGCGTACGTGTGGTGGCATCCTTCCAACAGTGCCAAAGCAAAGGTCCGTAGGTACGGCTCATTGTAGAACTTTGATCCTAAAAGGATAGTTCCCGGTGCAAAACATGCGAGATGTCCTTGCCGGTTGAGATACCACTCAGCATCCTGGCGCCCGATGTAGAGGTGCTGCATGGTGTGATCAGGAGAAGGCGCGGAGCGGCTGGCGAGATGTTCTCGAAGCGAGAAAGCCGCGTCTAAGAAGGT